AGGAGGGGGTCGTACCCGTGGTGGTGAGGGCCGTACCCATTTCATAAGGTTGCAGTACAACATGTGAAGTTTGAGGTGAAGTTTTCATGGGTAGGTAGGCTGGGGGAGTTGAGGGGCGCAGAAAAAAATGCCCTTTCAAGCGCGCGTATATACCCCCCCCCCCCCTCCCCGCTCGACGGCATTTTTGGAGGAAAAAGTGGGCGGAGTTTGGTGGGTTGAGTGGTATCAGAATTAAATACTATAGAGACGATGATGGTGGTCGAGGTGTGGAAAAGGGGGTCGTATCAAATCCACCTTGGGGGAGGGGGGTCGTAAAAAATTTTTCAAAAAGTAACAACGATAGGGTTGACCCTGCTTCAGACAAATCAACGACTGCTTGCGTACAAGAACCTGCTTTCATCCATTCCTACACATACTGGTTCAAAATGTCATGAAACGGAGTGAAATGGTAGCCTTTCAACGAGGTGTGGTTTCTATGGTTAGAAGTTCCAGCCAATCTGACCCAGGATCAAACGGCACGCGCAAACTGGTAATCGGCAGTCAGTCCTCTAAACTTTCCTTTCACACTTATCAAGACCCCGATATTTGCGGGGGGGGGATCGTACTGCTGTTAAATTAACACGTCCTCAACACGATCTTCACCCTGCCTGCATGTGTGACTGTGCCTACTAGACGTTCAACGTAACTATTTGCACCACACCTCGTCGAAATTTTGCTAGAAGGAAGTTCTATTGCAGTAGCGTCTACAAAAAAGGCTGGCGTTCGGACGTTTTGTGGACATTTCACCTGCTGACAATATTAAACTTTGTATGCAATCCTACCGTTTGTTGACCTAATAAAGGAAGTTCTGGCAGTTGAACACGATTTACAGGTCACACAGACACATGTTTGAGTTACGGTGTATTAAGTCAAGGATTATTTTCGACCAGAGAGAACCCGGGTTTCATGTTGCCTTCATTAAAACCGGTTATAACAGCTTTGAAGTCTCCACTTGACGGGCGTGTCGTCGTCAGGTGCTATTCGAAATTCGTCCATGTCTACCCATCAGGATTTGCTGGAAAGCTGTCCGTAAGGTACTCCAACCCGTAGAACACGAATATCACATCAGTTTAAAGGCAGCTATTACGATAAAGTGGGGCCGTATCGGGGAAGCATATGCACCACACGAATCAGTTACCTGGCTGCCAGAGAAGCGAGGTGTGGCGCTTCCACGACGTAAGGTTCGCTGGTTGCTGAGCAGGACTTCGAAAGCACTCCGCATAAAAAAGCGATCCGCCCACCAGTTTAGTTGGTGATTTGGACGAGCAGCGCTGCCAGCAGCTTCACAATTTGAGCAACTCGATTGGAGTGTGGTTTGGCATGGTATTAGCAAACGCGTGCGTTGAGCTCGCTCATACTTCCGGTTTTGGAGCTGTCACCTGTTCATGAGTGGAAACCGACAGCGAAAAGAGTGGGTCCCATTTTGCATTTCTTTGACGCATTTCTCCGCTTTTTTCGCCACCGACGTACCATTGAGCACCACCACGTCTCCTTTGGACCTTCTTGAATCTATCGTAATCGCTGCCTTTACGCGATAAACCTTGACGACAGCCCCACAGACGCTGGCTCTATCGGTTTTGCGCCGGGGCCCGAAACGCAGGCTCGCAACGAACTAATGTGAGATTCATGTTCTACGGGTCAAACTACCTCTGACGACAAGTTTTCAGCGAATTTGGTGATCCAAGGTGTTCTGGCGCCTTTTGGCGCCGGCACTGGCGCATGCGCTAGGCGTTTTCACGCCGAATGAGAGCGATATCGTGTTCTGCGGGTCGAACAGTCTTTGAAGGTAACTTTCCAGCCAGATGCTAAGGTGGAGCAGTATAGGGTAATCGGTACCGAAATGAGGATATGGAACAATACGGTTCTAAAATTGCAGGATAGGGAAAGTGCGCTGCTTGGCACACGCAGCTTTTGGAGATGAAATTCCGTTCGCATGGATAGTAGCTTGTGTACAATCATGTATTGTGTTTCCCTCCGTAACTGCACTTTGATTAGATATTTATGAGTGCCTTCCCCCCCCCCCCCTATTCGAACTACATTTTCACCGAAAAATACCCTAGTTATTATGCCTGACTAATGTTTATACTGCTTTTTCAACGTCATCGTGTAGACCCTGGTCTGGGTTTTTTCCAGAGTTAAAGAATGTCTGAACCCATTCAAAATAGAGCTAATGGCCCGAATAGCCTCTAAAGTGTGTCCCACACTCAAGCCGCTGTTCGGGATCGCACCACCTCTTCGATTCCGCAGTCCTTCCTGCCCTAACCTACGCCTCAGAGACTTGGACTCTGCGCAGGCAGGACGAGCATGCGGTCAGCGTTATCCAACGCGCTGTCGAGAGGACGATGCTAGGAGTAACCCTATACACGCAAGTGCAGAGGGGAATCCGGAGTTCCGAACTACGCCAACGATCGAAGATCAGGGACGCTGCCGTTTTCGCCAAGGAATCGAAGATAAGGTGGGCCGGACACGTCATGCGATTTTGCGATGACCGTTGGACCAGAGCGGTTACCGACTGGATCCCTCGGGACGTCAAACGAACACCTGGACGACCGCCGGCCCCGATGGTCAGACTTCTTCACGAAAGCTCTGAACGAAAGGAATGAAGGACTTCGTGTCCCTCGAGCGGAGGGTCCACTGGACTGCACGCGACAGGGACGAATGGAGACGTTGCTGGCGCCCGCTCGAGCAATTCGATGATCAACGGGACAGGTGATACAGGTGATTCTAATAAATATTTTGGTCGATATTCGGCTGTAACATTCCTGACCACACCTCGACTTCGGCAATGAAAGAGCACAGCAGCGTACCCAGCGGATCAATTGGCGCGCTACTGGCGCAGTACGCCCCTTCTCGCGTCCTGCCGTGTCAGTCTCTAGCCGTTTAGCAGAGAGAGCGTTAGCGTTGAAGAGGGCAGCACCGATGAGAGTCGCATCAATGCGGAAATCAACGGGGCAAGGAAGGGGTCCCATTTCTCGGGTTTTGGGCCATTTTTCACGGTTTCTCCTCTTTTGAGACTGACTGTCTCTCATTATACATATTTCCAATGGGCTGTCTTTCCATCGTAAAATCCGCCTTCAAACGGGCAGATATGTTAATCAAGGTGTCAGAAAATGGTGTAAATGGTAGTAGGCAACAAGGTTGAGGTGCCCATTATCATTACCCTGAAGCTGAAGGGCTCACATGAAGCAGAACAGCGGTAAGTGGCACCGTTTCCATGTTGCACAGGCCCAGAGTTTCCCAGAGTTGAAAGCTCAAAGCTAGAAAGAATGGCTTGCACCTTTGCTGGTCTCTACACATCATTGCATTGGTTAGGTAAGGGTTCAAAGACATTATGATCCCGAATGGAACCCAAATGCATGGCGGCATAGCAGAATCGAACTGTTGATGAATTTCGTACCCAGCAAGTCAATTTCGTCTTAACATACACCCTTGTATACGGTTTATTTAGGCCGGATCTATGGGCTTAGTAGAGACAGAATAAAACAACGAAACATTACTGTGACCTGCGTGTCTGCGATACATATACCGGCCATTTTCACATAACTGATAAGTGTTCGCACAATCAGGGCCACGTTGGATTCATCCGTCGCAGTGAGACATTAGAAATGTAAATGGAGGAATTCCACGAGACAAGGCATCGATTGTGTGTACAGCCGGCCCTACGCATTGAACAGAAGCGCTGGCGGAATTGTTTGAATTGTGGAACACGTGGCCAGGCCAATTGAATTCCAATAGGGCAAGTCCGAAATAAAGGTTATCGAACATTGAATATCTGAACAAATGAGCACCAGATTACGACACGTTGTTCGCAGGACATTTCAGCAACTGCAGCCACTACTGAGCGTCACCTTTCTGCCTACGATCCTCCTTGATCCTTTGACTTCAGGGTTCCTACCAGTATGAGCCAAAAATTGAATGTTCCTCTACGCGTGGAAGGGAGTTGTACTTGGGCAATAGTGCCGTAATTTGTGGATTTGGCAACGATTTAAGATATGGGTTAGGTCTAAGGATTTTTGAAGCATGATGAAGAAACTTTCGAAATGTTTTATGAGAGAATTTAGGGAACATTCTTTTTTCCAACCAGTATATGCCAAGCGCGTTCCTAACCTTCCTCCCAACTCATGGACTTTTGTGGAACATGCTATTCAAGAAAATGGACTTTACAAGTCATCAGGTAGAATCGAAGTTGGACTTCTTACAAAAGGTGTTCGTTAGTAGGGCTAAACCCGGGACAGGGAATCTTATGATTGTCAAATTTCCCTGAAACCTGAACCTAAATTGGCTTTTACTCGCATTTTACAATAGTAAATGCATTCCAATGTTCAATCTGTCGAGCACTGATATGTATATCCGGTTGAAAGAGTGGGAACCTCTAACAAAAATCTTCAAAATTCCTGAATATTTCCCAAATATCCATCAACTTCATAAAACCTAATTCTTTGAACACATCAAGATCCGTGTCAAAAAAAAACATCAGCTGATAGCCCTCAGAGCAAATCAACTATCGCCAACAATGTCTTGGCTCGAGGTCACTGATAGGCAGTATTTCAAATTCTAGCTATTCGGAATGTATCACGCATTTGGCATCATTCATAAAACGATTGCGCTGATTCATACGCATTCAGCTGGAGCAGTCATCCTTCCTACTGAAGCTACTGTTTTTTGCTATTGTGAACAGGAACTCACCAGCAAAATGGGTACATTATTCCAACTCTTTCCGCTCATACGTACGGAGCGAATCGTTGAGCTGAGAAACATCAGCATGTATTTCAAATCTGTGAAAGAATATTCCGACTACTTTGGAAAATTTAACTCGTAGAAATATTAAAACCAGGAATAAATAAAATTTATATGCAGACAACAATAACAAGAGCTGTGACAGCTTCCATAACAACGAGGTAACAAGTTATAACAAATTGAAATTATATCTCAAAACTTCATTTCTTGACAAATTGGCTAGTCTAAAGATCACTGTTGATAACCTGCTCAAGAAACGCGTTGAACCTGAAACAATTGGCATCAGATTTGTCAAAGTCACACTGGATTCCATAACAATCAATGTTGATTCCATAGACAGAACATTGAGACCACCTAGCGCCAGTTTGGCACGAGAATTTATTTGATTCCATAGACAGATCATTGAGACCACCTAGCGCCAGTTTGGCACGAGAATTTATTTAGCGCATATGTTTCCAACATTACCGTTCCAACTTGCTTGGAATGGCAGTTTTGGCCTAATATTTGTCACCAGAATTCTTGATTCTACCAGTCTTCCTAGCTATCCATACATTGTTCCATGAAAAGCTGGAAGACTCCGTGGTCAGGCTAGCGATGAAGATGAGCTATCCGCCAGTATGGAAGGGCTTGGTAGCTGTAGCAATATTTCAGTGAATTCGGTGTAACTTTTTTTAACCGAACGGCACTTTGCAACTGTTGCACATCTCATTCTTGTCCCGTTGAATTGAGGCACACCTTTTCAAGAATTACCTGACATACCTTTTTTAGACCTCTAAAGTAAAATACAAAACACTGATTCTACTCCCGAAAACAGCAATTTGGGAATTAGTGGTTCTCTTCTGAAGGTGTTAAGATTGTCATTATCGGGAAACATTTTCTAACACCTAACCATGAAACTTTGAAAAAAAATGCAAGGCAATATTTTCAAAGCAAAAAACATAAAGAAAGATCGACATGTTTCTAACGCGGACTTCCAAAAGATACACCAACCTTTTGATATCCATGATTATGACTCTCCGATACGGCTTGTAGGCCTTTCCATCCTTCACCAATGTATGAAACTTGCTCGTACTTTCCACCTCGCTATGAACGGGATAGTCAAAGAAGTGCGCCTCACCTTCATTCACCTGAAGAGCGAACCGAATGAAAGGAAATCTTCGAGGGATGCGAAAAGACTGACGAAAATATTCGTAGGCTGTTTTGTACCTTTGTTAAGATTTCATCTTCAATATCGTCATAAATTACATCTGCACGCGAAAGTTGTTGTATGGCCATTCTTTTCTGTAAAATGGCTTTAATGAATCTGTTATGACAGTCATGAGTTGGCAGCTTTCTTCGCAGAACTGGTTTACTGAGACCCTGAATATAATTAGAAGAAAGAAAGCTGGAAAAAGACGCATGAACATGTTGTGGATTCTGTGGAATAGAGCACTATTAAGGGGCCAAACCTCATGGAATAATGTGTTCAAATGCTATGATGCACAAACCTTTTCAGCTTTGCCCATCTTTTTCTTTTTGGAAGTTTTCGCGTCAGACGTTTTAAGTGAAGGTGTGCTTGCTTCTGAATCTGCTATTCGTAGTTTATGGATATATACGATTTTTTGATACGGTTTCTCCATGTTTTGCAAGTCATTCCTAAAACCAGGTCATTGGATGAATTCACCAAATCCTCTAAGACCAATTCGAGTATCACAGAAAAAATGTAATTCATGAAAACATACTGAATACTTTTGAAGGAAGGTGTGACGATTTGAGTGGGGAAATTGAGCATTCGTTCGTTAATAAAAAGTCCGAGGCGATGGGCCTGGCTTCCCCAAAAGCATCACGGAAACTCTTCAAAGCGAATTTTCTTGACTTCTCTTCTATGAAATCGAGCACTTCTTTGGCGTATTTCGAAGTGCCATTCTGAAAAGATAGCTTGAATTATATGATACTATGTCTCAACAATTCCGGAAACCTCTAACCTTTACAGGATTAAGTTTAGCAATAGACAAAAGCCCATATACAACATTCGCATTGTCTTCGTCACTTTGGTCTTCCGCTGGCTGAAACGAAAACATTGATAGCAACTGTGATTATCATTATTCTTCCTATTCAAAACAAAACCACAACAAGTCGTGTGGTCATGAAAAAGAAATATGTATTTGTACCGGAGGATAGTTGAGTGTCAAGCAGTTTTGCTTCTCACCATCAGGCACACCCACCGCCGGCACGTGGAAGGAAAGACAACAGCAATGTGTTTGGAATAAAACTGTTATAACTGTTGTCCGACTTCGACTTTCTTTTCCGAGCGTACTGTTACACTGGCCATTGAAGCAGCGACCGCCTATTGACTAACGTGAGGCGGTTCAATGGACCGTATTAAATAGTCCGTAGACCGGGAAGGGCTGCGTTCTCGGGTTTTTGACCAATCCTCTTACCTTTTTCGAACGTCATACCACTTGGTACCAATGCTCTCATCTTTCATAGGCATCATATTTCGCGACTGCTGCCATTTAGAATGCAACAACAGTTTGTGACAGTCTTGAGTTCAAGTGAGCAGTAGATACCATGACTAGTACGTATCTTCTCCACACTTGAACTCGAGATTGTCGCAAACTCATACTGCAACGTACAAAGTATGTGCGCACTCTAAGAAAATTCCCAGCACAATATCGAGAACTATAAACCCGCAATGAAAAAAAAATCGAAATATACATGTCTTAGAATTAATGCAGGAAAGAGAACTAAGATCCTCACCCCGATCACTAATCCAAAAGGGCTTTGTGCAATAATCGCATCCGCAAGTGAACCTAGGTCAACATCAGCTTTCAGGAATACCTGAATGTGTTTATAAACTTGGGTGCCTTGGCCAGTCAGGCAGACCAGAAAAAGGATGGAAGGTTTACCTGCGTGAGCATATTAATAACTCCATCACGATCATCACCTTCCATAGGAAATGCTTCGATATCGAAATCAAGATGTTGGTCGTTATCATCCTTAACTAGTTCTTCAGAGTCAGAAGTGCCACCATCTGGACCTGAATGTAGAAGACCATTTTCATAATAACGAGGGTAATTAAGTGAGCTCACAAATCATGACGGTTCTTGTTGTAATCGGTGCAATTCATGGACGGTTCATTGTTGGTAATCGGCTGGGACATTTAATAAGAAAAAAAATGCTGCCTGTATTCAACGACTGCGCAACCGTCATCACCTGAGACTATGAGCACTACCGTGGAAAATTTATTCATAGGAAGAAGCTTCGTATAGTAGCACATGCGCAGCATCATTACTTCTCCTTATTTTTCTGGTACTAGCCACAGCAAGTGTGAGGAAAAACTCTACTCCGCAAAGCGACGGTCTCGACGTGAGGGGGGTCTTTTCCATATGAGATACGTACATAACATACCGTTAGAGGTTTGCGCACTACTAAAAGAAGATATACGTTCTGTTGTTAGACAAACAAAACTCAAATTAGCAGTGAAGAAAAATAACAACGTAATAATGTTGATCCACGAACCAAGGTTTTCCTCACTGCTGTCATCACTATCACCTTTTGCGTCAGCAACATTCGAAACCACCTCCGAATGCGCGCCAATGCACAAGCGACTAATTATTAAGGCAAACACAACAACAAAAGTTTTCAGAAGCGGGAACGTACTTTCTTAGTTTGCTGTGCGAGTTTACGCTTTACAGACTTCGTTGCTTTCGAGCTTGAAGCCGCAATGCCATCCATACTAAAGTCAACGAGAACAGAGCGAATTTGAGAATACAGAAAACGACAACGACCACAAGATAAAGAAGCCCAGACACGAGAGAAAATGTGGGCAAATCAATGTTTCACGCTCCATCGCGATAATTGGCTCTTGAGCGCGAAATTTTCGAGCGGAGGTTCCTGTCTATTTCACCGAATGTAAATCACATCGTTGTAAAGTGGCCTGGTATAATGTTGTAATTGCACATCTGAAGCTCACTCAGGGCAATATGGCACCATGACCCTGGTTACGTGATTATTTGGACTTTCCTCTGTTTCCTAAGGAAGAAGGCAGAGCGGTCGGAGAACGGCAACTTCTGTAACTTTTAACAGCTACTTGAGCCAGGAAACTGAAGGAATTGACGTGGGTGAAGGAGCTCTTCGACATGGCAAAAGTTTGTGCGTGCGAGCCACTGTAGACATGAATCACTATTTAGGCAAGAGGTCACGTACGAGAATAGCATGTTGACTTTCACAGGGCCGTGTTCGGTTGGTAAAAATTCCTCGGGAGTGATCAAAAACCCCTAAAGGTTCATTGTTTTATGAATCAGTTCCCTTACCTTCAGTACGTTTTGGCTTAACTTTACAGGAAGGATCAGAATCACAATCAAGATATGAAATCGTTAAAAATGACTAGAATCCCAATGAAACACGCAAACTTCAAAAAATTGTAGGTCGCTCATCTCACAAAGCAACCAGGTTAGAATCGAAATTCATCTGCTTCTGCGTTCACGCAGCATCACATGAATTTTGGCTTTAGCCAAGGAAGGATGGCGGATGACACGCAGGTGAGACGCGTGAAAATGATTTTGGGCCTCCCGCTGCTCCTTCCTCAAAGAATCAAAGTTGGCCGGGGTTTGTGCTTGTTTCTTGCTCCCATGTATAGCTTAAGAGAGTCAGCTATCAGATTGAGGAATACTTAGGACCATCCGCAAAAATCATGGACTCGAAAAATTACTATAGGATATTCACTTTATAATCAGACCAGGTTTGCTCCGCCCGCTATCGCGCGCATCACAGGGTAGGGAGGAACCACGGAATAGCAGCATGACGTACTCCATTAACCACCTCACTATTGAATGTGTTATACCTCCTTATACCCCTTCTCTCCGGCGCATGGCAGCACCATGTTCCCCCTCCTTTCTCCTCTCCCCCACTCCCCTCCTCTCTACCCCCCCCTTCTGGTTCCCCTCCCCTCTACTGCCCGCCGGCTCCGGCTGCCCCGGCAGCACCATGTAGAATGAGGCTGTGTGCTCGTTCGGTGTTTTTGTAGCCATTGTGGGTGTTATCACAATCACCACATCAGGTTAGAATAATACGTCAACATGAATATAGACCTTACTCTTGAAAACGGTCGTTCTCTCTCAGTCTCTCCTCCCCACCTCCCCCTCCTTATACCCTCCTCTCGGTCGGCGCATGACAGCGCCATGTTCTCCCTCCTTTCTCCTCTGCCCCTTCCCTCCCTCTTCTCCCCTCTCCTTCCAGCCTCCCGTTTCTTGCCCCCTTCCCCCCTCCAACCCGCCACAACACCAGAATGCGAACGTTTTCCTCCCCCACCCCGCTCATCCGGCTGCCACGGCAGCACACCATGTAGAATGAGACTGAGTGTGTTCGATCGGTGTTTATATAGTCGCTATGGGTGTTATCATGATCATGACATCAACATCACGAAGTGTTGCCTTCGTACTCCCTGGTTTTGTGAGCGGTTGGTCCGGACGGACAGAACGACACACGCACACACACACACACACCGACAAACCGACACACCAAAGTTCTGGTTTATATAATGAAGTCATGTTCCGGCCTACTGAAAAGTACAAAGAAGGCACTCGAGGGGCTTCATGGTAGACTGGGGTGCAGCCCATGCCAGATCCAATACAAATTGTTACGTTGTAAAGGGGTCTGGCGCGTGTTTTCAGCGGCTGTGTGCTCCTTTGTCAACATGTCTTCAGCCGTCCACCTAAGGAAGTGGAAGTTGTTGATAGATTGGAAAGTTGCGATGAAAGGTGTGTGACTGAAACGAGGGTAAGCCGGACCAGGGTCATCACATTTGTGATTTCAGGAAGGGGGGTTGCATTTGAGGTCGAGCAAAGTTATCATAGTGGGAACGGAGGTTTTGTTCGGACTGGGGTTTTGACGAGTCCGGTGAAAGTTTACGGAAGTTGGAAATTAGATGACATTGGTGGATTTGCCGTTTTGGGATGCCAATGTACCCCCACGCTCGACGGTCATTTTAGAGGGAAAAGTGGGCGAAATAAAGAAACAGCGATCTTGGTGAGGGTGGTGGCTGGAGTAGAGGGAAGGGGATCGTATTGGGGAGCCTCTCCAGACTGATGGTAGTAGGGGGTCGCAAAATTTTCGAAAAAGTGTGAACGTGATAGTTGATCCTAGTCCCGACCTGAAATGGGTCCCCAACTTCGGGGTTTCATCCCCAGGTCGGAACACCGCTAGCTGATGTGGGCATATTTCCTACCCAGCTTTTATGTCTCGTCAGCACAACTCTTCTGCAATTTCAGGCCCCACGTAAGATCTGTTTCATGGAGTGAAGGGGAAAACAACCCAAAAACCAAAACCAAAAACCCTTATAAAATTTCTCTATCATTCCGACGAAACTTGCCCTGAGAATTTTCAATCCATTTGTCAACTATTCGCTTTCAAAAGTGGAGATCTGAAAAGCAAAAGAATTCATTCATGAAAATTTCACTCAAAGGAATTTCCGTTTTCTTTTGTATATGTTTTGTTCGGCAGGTTAGATCACCTCAGATTAGGACTGCCGGTTTGTTCATAGCAAGCCTGGGCCTAAACTCATGCCTAACTCTCGCCCCCCCCCCGTCCCCTCCCCACCAAGTATAAGCCAGTGTGTAAGCTAAAAGATTACGAATTTTGTGCCATTTTAATGTTGCTAAAGAAAGTTGTTGTCGTCCTGTTAATACAACCTCATATAGTTTTCGTTGCCCACGAGATCCTTTCCTGTTGAACTTTTCAAACGGAATTGTTTCCAGCAAAAATGGGGCCAGACCAGTGCTTACCTAATTCGAATCAGCAGAAATCTCTGTAGTAACTATAGGATGCAACCTGCCTTTGAGTGGCTCACTAAAGCGCCAAATCGTGTGCAGCATATCCCACTTCCCCAGGATCATGGTCGATGAGCGGTTAACACGCTATCCTTCCACGGCAGATTTGTGATCATGTTTTCGCATAAACTGGTACCGGTCGTTCAACTGTGACGCAGCAGTAAATGGCTCCGAAAGCGAAACCACAGCGGACTGTTGTGTTGGAGTTCATGAACAGGTAATGGTGCTGAAGGTGTTCGACCGGAAAACTCGTTCAATGGGTTCCTTGCTTTCTGTATCTTAAGTGGAGCACTCAAGAGGGGCCAAATTTGGTTTGTCCGGTAAGGTTAGTGGCTACTAACCTCCTGTGAGCGAACTTGAGCGTACACCGAAAAAGCGTATCCCGACATATTCCATGGTCTTCACACACTTCATTTCCTTTCCAAATTCCTGCCTCGTGTGGATACATTGAACCAACCGGGTGTGAGTTGTGGTGCAGAGGGCTCATTAGAGACACGCCCAGAATCATGGTTATTTTGCTTGAAAATAAAAGTGGATGATAGTGAAGAAACAAAGGGAAAGGAACCGCCGAGAGCCCAAAAATTGACCAATTTCTTCTCAATCAAGGGGACTTTTGAGGAATATATGGCGAGATAAAAGATACAGAAGGGAAGGAATTGGTAACGGGATAGCGTGGACACGAGCGAGGGCGAATCTGACTTCAATTGATGGACGGATCTCCGAGTGCTAGGTGGAGTTCTATGAGCATCATAACGCCAGGCGCCTATGTAGAGCATTTTCGTGCCGTTAGATCGGTACGGCTCGTCAAACTGCCGATCTTTCTATTTTCAATCCACTAACCTATTCCTGGACCGTGGCTTGAACTTAAGAATTGCTATACGAGATTGAACCTTTCCCGGAATTTTAATCTTGAATTGAAATTCTTAAAAAGTTCAGAACATTTCTGGAGAACATGTTTGCTGTTCCGCATTCTTGAATAGGCTTGTAAATCGACAAGCAAAATGACGAAAATAAGCGACGCAGCATTTGGTGATAACCTGCAATTTGACCTCCGATAATTAGCGAGCTACGCGGCGCCATTGCCTGCTAGGCAGCCCTGCAAAAGTAGCTTTATTCAGCCACCTTTTCAGCCTGTCGTTTTCGCCAGGGCCTGAAAAGCCCAAACTTCCAAAGGCTGATGTTTCATCTTCTTTCCTCATCAGAACGATGGATAGAAACCGGAACCGCGCTCAGTTCCTCTTCCCATCACTAGCAGATGGCCCATTCTGAGTCTAGTTTCGCTACGTTTCTTGTTCTCCTTTTCCTTCCTAATGCTGGACCAGGGACCGTTGTTCGGATCGAAGAGCGCCATTTTGGCCGATTCAGGGCATCTTCGCGGCGAAGTTGTGCGATTTTCATGTCCTCGTTGATCGTGTCCTGCCATCGCGGCCTTGGTCTCCCGGCGGTCGGGTGTATGTACTCTTTGATTTTTCTATACTATTGATTGGGTGTAAAAATGAAATAGTGGCTCAGAATATTTTAATACTCAATAAAGAAAGGTTTTTAGTAATTCAACAAAGGGACCAAAGGAGGAATTCAACCCACGTGCCATTAAACGGAAATTAAACAAACCAAACAGCACTATTCCCTAATGTTGTTATTAGTGAGCGGACGGATGAGGTAATAAAGAGGGGCAACACCGCAGCGCCTTCCCTTCACTTCGAGGGAGGAGTCCACGATAAAGTCGGAGGTCGAAGAAGGGGAAATATACCTATTCGGATGATAAGCAGGCTCACGTAAAGGTGCGGGGCGATGCGCTTCCGCAGCGAAGACTATGCCCAGCGGCTTGGTAGGACCACAATCGCGCCGTTCGCGCCTCTGCCCCCTCCGATAGGTAACCCCTCGCCGTCTGACTTTAACCGTTTAGCAGAGGGAGCGTTAGCGTTGAAGAGGGCAGCACCGATGAGAGTCGCATCAGTGCGGAAATCAACGGGCAAGGAAGGGACCCATTCTCGGGTTTGGGCCGTTTCTCATGGTTTTTTTTCATCCCTGCACCACTGACCATCTCTACCTTGATTTCTTATGCTGCCCTTTCATCGTAAGCTCCGCCTACAGAGCCCATGAGTGCTTCGTTCCAGTGTTCCCCTTGCATGTAGTATTTGGTATTGCAGGCGTACCAACGAACGG